TAGCAGGTCATTCAGAGTGCTACAGAACACTTGAAGCTTACTCAAAAAGCTTTTCTCAGTCTACCTATTTCTGCACCAACCATGAGGGTAGCTCAGAGAATTGGCTTTTGACTAGAAGGCTGTTTCTTCAAATCCCCGAGCTGGGAACACGAAGGCAGAGCGAAAGAAAAAGCCAGCACATTCCCAAGTAACTTTTGTGGAAGTGACCCTGAGCAAGGCAATTAACACCCGGCTGGTCAAGTAGAAACGTTTGGTGAACAACAGTGGGGAAACCTTGGCTCCCAGAGGTGCGAATGTGTGTAACTGAATGTGGGTGAAGCCGGGCGTTTCTGAAAAGCAGCCTAGCACGCTCGGTCAAACTAGCCTGTGTAAATAGAAGTAAATAAATAAAGACTGTTTTTCAGAGCCCAGCCACAGTAGAGGAAGCACTGTCATGCTGGTTTGAAAAAGATCCCCGAACACTGTCTAAAGAGCACAGCGGGGAACGTTGCCTTGGCCCACATCCTGTGCAAATTCACCCCATTTCGGTTTATTCAAAACACAATATTCTCATTACGCTCAGTTGGCTCGCTGCACTGTCATTTCATCTGGCTTTCCACACACCAGCACATTAGCCCCTTTGGTCTAGTAATGTTCAGAACATAACCCATAAAGAACCATTGTAATGTGTCTCTGCCTCATTATTGCCAGGTCAGTGTACGGAGCAACACAGGAGAATAGGGTGCCTCGTATGGCTTGTTAATTCAACACCTCTCTCATTCAGAGCAGCATTTGTACAGCTGGCCTTTTGAAGGGAGTTCAAACTATATACTCCTACACATGCAGACACATAGATATGCAGTGACAGCGCACACACGGACACACAATTCCTAGTCCCTGCTCTGACATCACTCCACACCACTGGTTCCTGCCCAACCTTCAGCCCCCACCTTGGGAAATCACCCCGAGCCTGTCCAGCCACCAGGGCGTGAAATACACACCCCTGGAAAGCAACGGAGGTGGGTGGAGGGACTGGGCGGTCGGGGTGGTGAGGGGCCAAGAGGTGGCGAGTAGCAAGTGTGAGCGTGTGAGATTTAGAGATGGAAAATGAGGGAATTCAGTGAGGAAAATGCAAAGAGGAATGTGTGTAACTGTTTTGGAGGGAGCGGAGGGGGTGTTGATTATAGGGTTTGGGTGACAAGAGATGGAATTGAAGAAGGATTAAATGGACACAAGGTTTCAGGAGGAGGAGGGAAGCAGGGAGGGGCTGCTTTGAAAGGAGCTCTGGGGGTGCACTCTTGGCCTTGAGACTGGGGCTCCGTCACGCCTCACGTCTCTGCGAGCCACTTGGGCCTGGCGCTCCAGAGGGGAGTCGGCCCAACCTTTGTTACAGTCGAGGAGTGGGGAGTGACAAGGCATACCAGCATGTCTGACATGTCAGAGCAGTTGGCTGGGAGACCCTGAAACTGTTCGGGTCTGACGCTGGCCATCTGTAGCTTTAGAACAGGGCTGGACTGTTTTAATTGATGAAAACCGCCTCGGGGAGGATGCGAGAACGTGCTTCAAGGAGAAAACAAAGAGCGGACGGTGAATCAGGCGTTGATTAAATGTGCACTGAGTTATTTCAGCAAGCAAACAAGACCAGCGTATCCTTGGAGGAACCTTAATGGTGGCTAAATCAAAGAGAGAGGGTTTTTTTTAGCTGAAAGACAAATAGAAATATGAATGATCAGATTTGAGCATTGCTCAAGTCCCTAGTTGGATGTATTCATCCTTATTGCAGTCTCTGAAAGAGCTCCTTTTAATGTCACCCAGCGAAGGGAAGTGATGAAATGGAGCAATTATGTATCCATTTGTGCTATTCAGGTGAAACCAGGTGTAAAATTTCCAATCTGTGCACCTGCTGTATCTTTAATTCATTGTGCTTTCTCACCAGTGTTGCCTGTTAGGTGGTAATATTTAAAATATGGACAAAATATTACATGCAATAAATCTATTTAGCATTATCATATTTCTTCCAGGATTGTTTTTTTCTGTGTAAGATTACCCCAAAAATTGCAATAGCTAAGTGCCAAACACAAGCAAATCTTATAGGAGAAATATTACAGTTGTTTGTTGAGTTGAGCTGTAATAAGAGGAAGAATGCATAGCAATAAAACAAAATTGTCCCTCATCAAGTAGCAACACGCTTAATTTGATATCCAGACATTTAGGAATATGAGAAAGAAAACAATAGAGCATTCTTGTCCTGAATGGGGAGAATTACGTTCTTTGGTGAAAACAGATAGTCAAGTCATATCCCGTCGGGGTGCAGATTAATTTTCATTTTCCAAAGAGTTTGTGCATATAAATATTCATGAACCACCTTGAAAAGCGATGGGCGACTTTATAAGGCGGTCAGTGGAGAAACCAACAAACCCACCCCCTCCCTTCCCTGCAGCTGTGCTGATGAGGGGGGGTTAGTTCATGATGAAAGACTCTCACTATCCACGACCTTTCCAGTCTAAAACAAAGATTTGCACAATTAACTACTTTTAAATGTCATCCAACTGCCAAATCTGCATATCAACGCCAAGCCTTGCATAGAAATGAGGATGTTTGTGGAGGAATCGTTTTTCTCCCCTTTCCCATCCCAATGCCACCAAATGGGGTTCTTTCTCATTTTAGCCAGGAAGAAAATGTAAATGTCAACATATCTTGTGTGGAGATCCTTCAGTTGGTAATTAACCTTTGCCGTTTAGAAGCTAGACTGAGCTCTGCCTAAACACCGCAATTAACTCCAGCTTGAAAGACAGAGAGACAACATCTACATGGAGCCATACAAGGGGGGAAGTTACAGTGACTTCATTATCCTTGCCGACACACATACTCCACACACCTCACATTTTTGAGAGTACTCATTTGGTTGATATTTTCCCCAGGCGGCAGGAGTGAGCCTATTGGGAGGATGTCAAAATTCGGTGGATTAACAAATCTCATTTCTTTTTATCTCGATGAGGTTGGACAGGAAAGCTGGTTTAGTTGTAGCCCCTGGTGAGTGGTGGACCATTATAGAGAAATTCATACTCATAAATCTTCATACATCAAGCCGAGGACTGCCGGGATCTATCATGTTCAAGTTCAATTTCCAGATGCAGTGACTGGGAGGAAAATTCGTCCTCCTCTAACCAACTTCAACCGTCCAAAACAAGTATATGAGCCAATGTAATTCAAACACTCTCTTCTGGTGCTCTCTGTGGGTCTCGTCTAGGCCTGAACTGTACAGGGTCCTCCGGAGTCATGAATAGCAACACTGAGCTTGCTCCTGAAGCTCAAAGGCAGTGTCAGTTACAAAGTCAACCCATTAACATCTTCACTATTCAGCACGACGCTCTTTCCCAACTGCAGAATCAACACAAGTCAATAGGCAGGCAGAATACCACAGGTAGCAAGGCAAAATACCTCCTTGCTCCCCTGGGAGGGGGTGAAAACAGTATATGATGATGGACATGGAAATATTTTCCTTTTATATGTTGATAAATATTGAAACTCTTGGAGCACTCAGGCCAGACGCAGACAAATGATTGACATAATTTCCAAAAGAAAGGAAGGATCTGGGTTTGGGGAGGGCAGGAGTGAAGCAGAGGGAATGCTGGGAGGTGCCAGAGTAAAGTTGATTCAGTATAGGATGAATAGGATAAAGGGAAGCTTTAGCAGAGCAGACCCTCCACAGTCAGTCAGTGGGAGCCAGACAGAAAGAGAAGAACACTCTTTAACCACAAGGTAGGTAACTGAGGCTAAGATGAACAATCAAGGTTAAGGCAAAATACTTAAAGACAAGACATGACTTGTTCAAGGAAGCTATAGGATTAATCTTGCTGGGCACTGCAGAGAGTCTTCGGTATAAAATCGGAGTGATGTTCGCAAACTGGTGATAGGGGCTGCACTGCAGCAGATGGCTACTACAGCAGATGGCTACTACAGCAGATACGATCAAGTATACCTTATCGAGGGAGCCACCATCAACAAGTTACTGCATGTAGTGTTTGCTCACAAGCCTCCACATCTTGTTCTGATGCATCAGAAACACAAAGGCTCTGACATCACATCAATGCTTAAGGAGGGTAGACTACCATGTTTTTAAAACACAGCCTTCGTCATGACTAGATGCTCTGTATCAATTTTTGTGAGGAAGTTCAAAGGAGCCCCTACCTTTTCAGTCGAGGACATCCGTCAATGTCAGCTATGATTAGGCCTTGAAAAATACAAATTTCTTGGGAAGACTAGACTAACGTCCTTGCAAGTCCAACATGACAAATGTCCTGTATGGTCAGCGTCAGTTCTTATCAGTGCCTCATTAAAAATGTAATGACCACATGAATATTTACCAAGTTTAATTACTGCTCTCTGTTGCTATTCTGCTGTGCCCTGCACACTGTTTTCTTTTCCAGAGGGCAGTCTCCCTTCCAAATGCCTCCTTCCACCTTGATGAATATTGCAGAAGTCCGAGGAGTGTGAGCCATTGATGGAATCCACCTCAATCAGCAGGAGAATCGATGGCATACACTCACATTTGCAAAGGCGCTAATTGGCGGCAGTAAAATTCAGCAAGCTGCATAATTTACCCAAGAGAGACATGGAACTGGAGTGCAGGGAGATCAGCTCATTTGTAGCAGAGGTATTAAAAACCCTGTCATTCTGAAATCAGAAGGCCTTCTACAGAAGCAGAGCCAAAGGCCAAATTATTAATGTCTCTTCAAGCTATTGAAGGTAGGGTTTGCTTGCTGTCGAGGTAAAGCTCTTCACCGAAGGACCGTCACTGGCAACACCTGACCCATTTCCCTTTACCTACCTTTGTTATGCTGACATAGAGTAGTTTCTGATCCCCAAGCTAACCAACCTG